CCCTCCCCCCCCCTCCCGCCGCAGCGCCATTCCCCGGGCCCCCGCTGTCTCCCGCCCTTGTGCTTGGTCTGTCGGTGCGTATGTGCGCGCGGTCCCCAGGCCCGGCAGCCCGTCCCCTGCTCGGTCCCGCCGGCCGTGCGGCGCCCCCGTCCCAGCCCCGCGCGCCGCTCTCGGCCGCCCCTTCCGCCCCCCGAGGGCCGGGTGGATTCCAGCATTCCACGCCCCTCCCTGCCACTTGGGGGCGCCCGGCGCGCGCGCGCGCGTGCGTCGAAGTGCAGCGGTGTCTACCCGTCTCTAGGGGGGGTGAGGCCGCCTCGGCCCCTCCGAGGTGGTGTGCCTCCCCGGTGGAGCCCCGGCGCCGGGGTCGAGCCTGCCCCCGCCGGGGGGGGGTCTCTCGGCTGGCGTTGGCTCGCCCTTGCCGGTCGGCCGGGCCCGGCCGGCGGGCCCGTTGGCCGCATGCGCAGGTACGCTCGGGCGGAAGAACGCGGAGTGCGGACGGCGCGCGCGCGCGCGCGCGCCCTCACGCCCGAGGCCCGACTCCGCGTTCTTCCACCCCGAGCGCAACCTCTCGCCATAAACGGGGCCAAGGCTGCACTGGCGGACGCCGAGCCACGCGCACCGCAGGCCGCGCGTCCTCTGCCCCCCTGGCTGGCCGGCCGCCCCCGTACAGCGCAGGGGGCCACCTCCGCGCGCCGAGGGCGCCGGGGCGGATGAATCCGGCCGGCCGGCCAGCCTCGAGGCGCGCCCCGCGGCCCCCCTCCTCGCCTCCCCCCCGCCGGCGTGGACGTCGGGCTATTCTGTCTGTGTGTCTGTGTGTCCGCGTGCCGGCCGCTGTTCCACGCCCTCCCCGGGCGAAGGGGGGGCATCGGCTGGCGGTCCTGCATTCGAGTGTGTGTGTGTGTGGTGTGTGTGGTGTGTGTGTGTGTGTGTGTGTGTTTGCTTGGGCACCGGGGGCTCTCTGTTCGTGCTTCCACACGTGCGCCCTGCCTAGAGGGGTCCCCCTGCCGGCGGGCCTCTCCTCGCACGGCGTGCGGCAGGGCGCCTTGCGCTTTTGGTGGGGAGACGCCCGGGCCCTGTCGCCCTCCGACCCCCCCCCCCCAGTGCTCCAAGCCCCCCGTGGCTTCCGGCCAACGCCGGCCGGGCCGGAGAATGGTGCGATGCCGGCACCGCAGTTGGCGGCGAGTGCGGAGGGAGGCCGCGCAGGAAGACCCACGCCCAGCTGTGGTGGCGGGCAGCTCGTCCAAGGCTCGACGCCGCCCCGCACCAGCCGACCACTCTTGGCGCCCCTTCGGCAACTGGGCCCCAAGCGCGCCGACGCGTCATGGCGGCCAGCCCGGCTGCCGGCATTCACATCGACCTCGACCAGGGGGGCCTCCGAAGGGGGTGTAATTTCCCGACACCCCGGCCGGGGGACCAGAGAGCTGGGTAGGGGCAGAGCGGAGGGGGCAGAGCGGAGGGGGGGGGGGGCGGCGGGTGCGCACGGAGCCCGGGTCGTCTGAGCATGAAACCTCCCCCCGCCGCGCCGCGTCCCCCCTCCGAGGAGGGAACACACCGGCCGGGCAGAGGAGGCCGATCTACCCGGGCGGTCCAGGCGGCCCAGGCCCCTCGGCGCCGGGCCTCCGGCGTTTTGCCAACCGGCACACTGCCACACTGACACACATGCTCCGGGCCCCGGAACCCCCGGCCACTCGTCCGCCCGCCCCCCCCCCCCGGAGAAGACACTCCCTCTCCTGTCTGGCCGTCCGGTTCCGATGATGCGCGAGGGGGGCGGCAGGGGGGAAGGGCGGGGGGCGGGGGGTTGGGTGGACCGGGGGGGGGGGGGGGGGGGGGGGGGGGGAATGAGATCGCCTCAAATGGCCCCGCCCGGGCGGCTCTCGCACCGGGCCCCCTACACACCTCACTTTTCACCCCGCTTCGACTGGGTCCCCTCTTCTCCTCCTCTTCTTCCGTCAACCTCCCTTCGCCTGCGCCTCGCCCCGCGCCCGACCCCTCTCCGGCCCTCGGTCGTTGGCTTTTTCTTTCCGACCCCCCCCACCCCCACCTCGCCGTCCTGCACCATGGCCCGGCTTCCGGACCCGCTGGACTCGATGGGCTTCCACCTGGCTGAGAAGCTCGTCGTCGCTTTTGCCGGGTTGGTGATCGGCGTCTCGCTGATTGCCATCCTCTTCACCCTCTACCACCGAAACTGGCCTCCCATCAAGGCCAAGCAGCCAAGTCTCATGTTTTTCGCCTGGGTCGGCGGCTCCTGCTTCCTCATCGGCACCCTTGTGCGTGCACCCCGGCGCTGGCCCTGGGCCTCCTCTTTGCCCCTGGCGGGTCCCGCGAGCCCCTCTGACACATTCGCCTCCCCCGCCGCTCTGTCTCTCCTCCCTGTCGTCACCACGGCCCGCAGTACAGCAACCGTGTGTTCCCGGTCATCGACGGCTTCAAGGGCTGCGCTTTCTTCCACTACTGGATCCAGGTCCCGATGGGTGTGTCCTTCTACCTGACGGCCTGCTTCTACCGCCTTCTGCGAGTGCGTGCCCTGCTGTTTTTTCTCCCTCCCTCTCTCTCTCTCTCTCCCGGTCGGTCGGTCTCAATCTCCGACGCATGGGGGGGGGGGGGGGGGCCACAGCCACATCCTATTCACACAACCGACTAACCTCCTGTCCCCCCCACCCGCCGCTGCCGCCGCCAGATTTACCTCATCTTCAAGGCCCGGCACCTGCACACCACCAAGTTCATCATTGCCCTGGTGGCGGCCATCTACCTGCCCTTCATCATCTTCGGCATTGTGTACACCATCTTCGAGTGGGGTGGCCCGGTGGACATTGACGGCTACATGATTTGCCTGACCCCCATCCTGGCGCTGATCATCAAGTTCTCGCTGATTGGCATGCAGGTCATCTGCTTGACGACGCTCACTTTCATGACGCGGTCCATCCGTCATAAGGTCTTCTCCGAGTACAACGCCGTCATGAACTCCATGCTTGTGCACCTGGTGGCCTTCGTGCTGTTCACCATCATCTCGATGCTCGGCCTGCAGTTCACCCTCTGGGGCCGGTGCCTGCTCGGCTGCCTGGTGTCCGTGGTCATCGTCGTCAACCAGGCGTCCATCATCTATGTGCCGCTGTACCATCGGTGCGAATCGGGCCTTGCCATATGGGGCTTTTTCCCCCCTCCTCTTGCTCTTGCTGTCCTTCGCTCCTCCTCCCCGACTCGCAGCCACATGGGCATGTCCTTTTGTCCGTGCGCCCGCTCACCTACTTCTTCATCATCTCTCTCTCTGCCCCCCCCCCCCCCCCGGGCCACCTCAACAGCATCGTCGACCCCGAGGAGTACCTTGCCAAGTTCCAGGCGCAAATCTTCAACCCCTCGCTCGGGGCCAAGTTTGGCTCGCAGTTCTCCGGGTCCTCGCACCCCGGCGCCTCCGGCACCGGCTACGATGAGCACGGCCTCACCAGCAGCACTTCCATCTCGGAGACCGGGGCCCCGGAGAAGGGCGGCGACTCGCCCATCATCCCCGGCACCATCATCGGTGGCAATGGCATCTCCCACTGCTACGAGCTCAAGTCCCTGGACGGGTCCTCCTCGTACCATCCGCACCCGGATGCCAGCCACCCCGGCCTGCACGAGGACGACACCGCGTACATGGTGGCCTCGGCGGCCGGCGCCACCGCTCCCGACGGGCAGTCTTACTACCCGAGCGAGGCCGAGTCTGCCGCCGACGTCGAGTCACTCCCACACCATGGTGCTGATATGGGGTCCGATGTCGAGGCCGATGCCCATGCCGACCCCCACCACCACCACCACCACCACCACTATGTGGACCGCCACACTCCCGAGGACGATGTCGAGGCCCGTGTCACCTCCATCCCCCCGGCCGCTGGGGCCTCCTCTTCTTCCTCTGACAAGGGGGAGGAGTCCGACGCCTCGTCGGTGGACATTCCTCCGCCGAGCATGATTGAGGAGACGCCCGATTCCGCGTCGGCCACTCCCAAGGCCGCTGTCCCGGCTGTCGATGCGCGCCAGTCCACCTCATCCCTCGCCGCGTCCACCCGGTCTTCAGTGGCCTCCTTCTCGTCCTCGGTCGCCGGTGGCAGTGATGGGGACAATGACGAGTCGGTGATCTAAGTCTCCCCCTGCTCGAGCATGTGCCGTCCTCCTCCCCGCACAAAGGCATGCTTCCGTATGCGCATGCATGTGGCCGGGAGTGGTGCTTCTCCCTGCCCGCTCCCTGCTCTCGCGGGGTCCCATGGCTTGGCATCCCCTCCCTCTCTTTATCGATCGATCGATCGATCTCTCCTTCTCTCCCCCTCTGTGTAGGCGCCTGCATCTGCCTGTCCACCGGCAGGGGGAGGGGGAGAAAAAAAAACCCCATCCCTGTCCTTGCCCCCTCTGAAAACCGAAAAGAAAAAAGCGCCCTCTCCCTTGTGCGGCGCATAGTCGCGCCCTCGGCGCACAATACAGTTTCCCCTTTCCCGCTTGCCCTCGTGTGTTTGTCCGGCGAAAGGGACGCTTCGGTGCCCTGCTCGGAGTGCCCCCTCCCCCCCCCTGGCCGCTGGTCGTAGTTCCGGCAGCCCTGGCATCTCCTGTGAGTCTTCGTTCGACACACGCACACGCACCGACATGCCCGCACACTCACACACGTACACACGTACACACGTACACACACACACACACACACACACACACACGTACACACGCACACACACACACACACACACACACACACACGTACACACGTACACACATACACACACACACACACATACATACGCGGGTAGAGATGTGTGTATGAACCTGGCGGAGCACAGCTGTGTCTCACCAGGCTGCCCGCCTCCATCGCCCCCGGGACTAGCACAGACGAAGACTGCGGCACGGAGGGGCCTCGGTTGTGCAGAGCCGGATCATCCCCCCTGCAGGCCAGGGAAAGCACACAGTCTTTCTCCGGCCCGAGGGATGGACGCGCGAGACGGGGCGCAGCCGGCTCCATTGGCACCGGCCGAAGCGAAGGCAGCCCCACAGGTAGCAAAGCCACCCCCTCCGCGCGAAGATGGTGCGGGAATGTTTCAGTTGCCAATGGTCCGCCCATTGTCTCATCCCCTCCTGGCATGCCGGCGCACGTTTCCCGGCCGGCACACTAGACACTGACGGGGCCGGGGGGGGGGGGGGAAACCGCGGGAGCCGTCACGGCCGGGGAGGCACACGCACGCACACTCACCCCCCGGCTGGCAGGCGCGGGTGTGCCGGCCGGGATCCCGAACAGGGGGGGGGAAGGGGCGAATGGGCACCGACGGCAGAGGGAAGTGCGAGGGCCTCATTCGGCGGAGTTGCTGGCAGATCTGCCTCGGGTGAGGGCTCGGTCCGGCGGGCGGATGCTGCCACCGCGCCCCGAGCAAGCGCCCCTTCGACCGGGACCCGCGCAGCGCGGTGGTGGCCATCCCTGGGGCGTCCTCGCGTGGGGTGGTTGTTCCGGACGATGGTTGCCCCGCCGATCGCTTTTGGGCGGGCACTTCCGACGACGAGATGCGGTGCCGTTTGCAAGGGGACGTGCCTGGCGATTGTTTTTTTCTCTGTGTGTTTTTTCCCTTCGACGCCTTTCTGGGAAGGGGGCACAATGAGCACCAACAAAGGGATGACAGCCACTGGTTTGATTCAGGCCGGTGGGACGGAAATCACCCCTTCCTCCGCTTCTCTCTCTCTCTCTCTCTCT